TAAATTATTAGTCTATAACCTAACCTATAGTCTAGTCTGTAGTCTAGTCTGTAGTCTAGTCTATAGTCTAGCCTATAATCTAAACTGCCTCTAGTCTTGTCTATGGTATAGTCTATATTCCAGTCTATAGTCTAGTCTATATTCTAGTCTATATTCTAGTCTACATTCTAGTCTATATTCCAGTCTATAGTCTAGTCTATATTCTAGTCTATATTTTAGTCCATATTCTAGTCTACATTCTAGTCTATATTCTAGTCTATATTCTAGTCTATATTCTAGTCTATAGTTTAGTCTATATTCCAGTCTATATTCTAGTCTATTCTAGTCTATATCTAGTCTATAGTCTAGTCTATAGTCTAGTCTATAGTCTAGTCTATAGTCTAGTCTATAGTCTAGTCTATAGTCTGTCTATAGTCTAGTCTATAGTCTAGTCTATAGTCTAGTCTATAGTCTAGTCTATAGTCTAGTCTATAGTCTAGGTCTATAGTCTAGTCTATAGTCTAGTCTATAGTCTAGTCTATAGTCTAGTCTATAGTCTAGTCTATAGTCTAGTCTAGTATAGTTCTATAGTATAGTCTATAGTCTAGTCTATAGTCTAGTCTATAGTCTAGTCTATGTCTAGTCTATAGTCTAGTCTATAGTCTAGTCTATAGTCTGTCTATAGTCTAGTCTATAGTCTAGTCTATAGTCTAGTCTATAGTCTAGTCTATAGTCTAGTATATGTCTAGTCTATAGTCTAGTCTATAGTCTAGTCTATAGTCTAGTTATAGTCTAGTCTATAGTCTAGTCTATAGTCTAGTCTATAGTCTAGTCTATAGTCTAGTCTATAGTCTTAGTCTATAGTCTAGTCTATAGTCTAGTCTATAGTCTAGTCTATAGTCTAGTCTATAGTCTAGTCTAAGTCTAGTCTATAGTCTAGTCTATAGTCTAGTCTATAGTCTAGTCTATAGTCTAGTCTATAGTCTAGTCTATAGTCTAGTCTATAGTCTAGTCTATAGTCTAGTCTATAGTCTAGTCTATAGTCTAGTCTAGTCTATAGTCTAGTCTATAGTCTAGTCTATAGTCTAGTCTATAGTCTAGTCTATAGTCTAGTCTATAGTCTAGTCTATAGTCTAGTCTATAGTCTAGTCTATAGTCTAGTCTATAGTCTAGTCTATAGTCTAGTCTATAGTCTAGTCTATAGTCTAGTCTATAGTCTAGTCTATAGTCTAGTCTATAGTCTAGTCTATATCTAGTCTATAGTTTAGTCTATATTCCAGTCTATATTCTAGTCTATATTCTAGTCTATAGTCTAGTCTATAGTCTAGTCTATAGTCTAGTCTATAGTCTAGTCTATAGTCTAGTCTATAGTCTAGTCTATAGTCTAGTCTATAGTCTAGTCTATAGTCTAGTCTATAGTCTAGTCTATAGTCTAGTCTATAGTCTAGTCTATAGTCTAGTCTATAGTCTAGTCTATAGTCTAGTCTAAAGTCTAGTCTGGTCTATAGTCTAGTCTATAGTCTAGTCTATAGTCTAGTCTATAGTCTAGTCTATAGTCTAGTCTATAGTCTAGTCTGGTCTATAGTCTAGTCTGGTCTATAGTCTAGTCTATAGTCTCGTCTATAGTCTAGTCTATAGTCTGGTCTATAGTCTAGCCTATAGTCTAGTCTATAGTCTAGTCTATAGTCTAGTCTATAGTCTAGTCTATCGTCTAGTCTATAGTCTAGTCTATAGTCTAGTCTATAGTCTAGTCTATAGTCTAGTCTATAGTCTAGTCTATAGTCTAGCTATAGTCTAGTCTATAGTCTAGTCTATAGTCTAGTCTATAGTCTAGTCTATAGTCTAGTCTCTAGTCTAGTCTATAGTCTAGTCTATAGTCTAGTCTATAGTCTAGTCTAGTCTATAGTCTAGTCTATAGTCTAGTCTATAGTCTAGTCTATAGTCTAGTCTATAGTCCTAGTCTATAGTCTAGTCCATAGTCTAGTCTATAGTCTAGTCTATAGTCTAGTCTATAGTCTAGTCTATAGTCTAGTCTATAGTCTAGTCTATAGTCTAGTCTATAGTCTAGTCTATAGTCTAGTCTATAGTCTATAGTCTAGTCTATAGTCTAGTCTATAGTCTAGTCTATAGTCTAGTCTATAGTCTAGTCTATAGTCTAGTCTATAGGTCTAGTCTATAGTCTAGTCTATAGTCTAGTCTATAGTCTAGGTCTATAGTCTAGTCTATAGTCTAGTCTAGTCTATAGTCTAGGTCTATAGTCTAGTCTGGTCTATAGTCTAGTCTATAGTCTCGTCTATAGTCTAGTCTATAGTCTAGTCTATAGTCTAGTCTATAGTCCTAGTCTATAGTCTAGTCTATAGTCTAGTCTATAGTCTAGTCTATAGTCTAGTCTATAGTCTAGTCTATAGTCTAGTCTATAGTCTAGTCTATAGTCTAGTCTATAGTCTAGTCTATAGTCTAGTCTATAGTCTAGTCTATAGTCTAGTCTATAGTCTAGTCTATAGTCTAGTCTCTAGTCTAGTCTATAGTCTAGTCTAGTCTATAGTCTAGTCTATAGTCTAGTCTATAGTCTAGTCTATAGTAGTCATAGTCTAGTCTATAGTCTAGTCTATAGTCTAGTCCATAGTCTAGTCTATAGTCTAGTCTATAGTCTAGTCTATAGTCTAGTCTATAGTCTAGTCTATAGTCTAGTCTATAGTTCTAGTCTATAGTCTAGTCTATAGTCTGTCTATAGTCTAGTCTATAGTCTAGTATTAGTCTAGTCTATAGTCTAGTCTATAGTCTAGTCTATAGTCTAGTCTATAGTCTAGTCTATAGTCTAGTCTATAGTCTAGTCTATAGTCTAGTCTATAGTCTAGTCTAAGTCTAGTATAGTCTAGTTATAGTCTAGTCTACTAGTCTAGTCTATAGTCTAGTCATAGTCTAGTCTATAGTCTAGTTATAGTCTAGTCTATAGTCTAGTCTATAGTATAGTCTATAGTCAGTCTATAGTCTAAGTCTATAGTCTAGTCTATAGTCTAGTCTATAGTCTAGTCTATAGTCTAGTCTATAGTCTAGTCTATAGTCTAGTCTATAGTCTAGTCTATAGTCTAGTCTATAGTTAGTCTATAGTCTAGTCTATAGTCTAGTCTATAGTCTAGTCTATAGTTAGTCTATAGTCTGTCTTAGTAGTCTAGTCTATAGTCTAGTCTATAGTCTAGTCTATAGTCTAGTCTATAGTCTAGTCTATAGTCTAGTCTATAGTCTAGTCTATAGTCTAGTCTATAGTCTAGTCTATAGTCTAGTCTATAGTCTAGTCTATAGTCTAGTCTATAGTCTAGTCTATAGTCTAGTCTATAGTCCAGTCTATTGTCTAGTCTATAGTCTAGTCTATAGTATAGTCTATAGTCTAGTCTATAGTCTAGTCTATAGTCTAGTCTATAGTCTAGTCTATAGTCTAGTCTTTTGTCTAGTCTATAGTCTAGTCTATAGTCTAGTCTATAGTCTAGTCTATAGTCTAGTCTATAGTCTAGTCTATAGTCTAGTCTATAGTCTAGTCTATAGTCTAGTCTATAGTCTAGTCTATTGTCTAGTCTATAGTCTAGTCTATAGTCTAGTCTATTGTCTAGTCTATAGTCTAGTCTATAGTATAGTCTATAGTCTAGTCTATAGTCTAGTCTATAGTCTAGTCTATTGTCTAGTCTATAGTCTAGTCTATAGTCTAGTCTATAGTCTAGTCTATTGTCTAGTCTATAGTCTAGTCTATAGTCTAGTCTATAGTCTAGTCTATAGTCTAGTCTATAGTCTAGTCTATAGTCTAGTCTATAGTCTAGTCTATAGTCTACTCCATAGTCTAGTCTATAGTATAGTCTATTGTCTAGTCTATAGTCTAGTCTATAGTCTCGTCTATAGTCTAGTCTATAGTCTAGTCTATAGTCTAGTCTATAGTCTAGTCTATAGTCTAGTCTATAGTCTAGTCTTTTTGTCTAGTCTATAGTCTAGTCTATAGTCTAGTCTATAGTCTAGTCTATAGTCTAGTCTATAGTCTAGTCTATAGTCTAGTCTATAGTCTAGTCTATAGTCTAGTCTATAGTCTAGTCTATTGTCTAGTCTATAGTCTAGTCTATAGTCTCGTCTATTGTCTAGTCTATAGTCTAGTCTATAGTATAGTCTATAGTCTAGTCTATGTCTAGTCTATAGTCTAGTCTATTGTCTAGTCTATAGTCTAGTCTATAGTCTAGTCTATAGTCTAGTCTATAGTCTACTCTATAGTCTAGTCTATAGTCTAGTCTATAGTCTACTCCATAGTCTAGTCTATAGTATAGTCTATTGTCTAGTCTATAGTCTAGTCTATAGTCTAGTCTATAGTCTAGTCTATAGTCTAGTCTATAGTCTAGTCTATAGTCTAGTCTATAGTCTAGTCTATAGTCTAGTCTATAGTCTAGTCTATAGTCTAGTCTATAGTCTAGTCTATAGGCTAGTCTGTAGTCTAGTCTATAGTCTAGTCTATAGTCTAGTCTATAGTCTAGTCTATAGTCTAGTCTATAGTCTAGTCTATAGTCTAGTCTATACTCTAGTCTATAGTCTAGTCAATAGTCTAGTCTATAGTCTAGTCTATAGTCTAGTCTATAGTCTAGTCTATAGTCTAGGTCTATAGTCTAGTCTATAGTCTAGTCTATAGTCTAGTCTATAGTCTAGTCTATAGTCTAGTCTATAGTCTAGTCTATAGTCTAGTCTATAGTCTAGTCTATAGTCTAGCTATAGTCTAGTCTAAAAGTCTAGAGTGGCCTTTATATTAGACTCGATTTGAGTCCAGTTCTACTAGCTTAACTAAATGTTTTATTAAATGGGGTTAAGCTCAGCTACCTAACCGGGGCCTTTACTCCTCATTCGAATTACTTGTTAGATATATTATATTTGAGATTATGCCATTCTATAATGAACAAGAAATAGATTTTTCGCATTTAATCCTCGTTTTGAAAATCCCACACTTTTAAAATATCACTCTTAAAATGTTATTATAAATTTAAAAAAATAATAAATTTTAAATCCGTTGCATTTTATTATTCATGTTATTTAAAGGTAAACATTTACATTCATGAAACTGTAAGAAAGTATTTAAAAATATATTATTTTTAGAAACTACATATTTATAATTATAAATCTTTTACTTACATATTAAAATTAACAATAGAATCACAACCAGTCCTCCAAAAACTAATTTTGTTTTCATCTGCTTCCACCATACTTTACGTTTAACTATATCTGTAGTAGTTTTAAATTGTCCAGCATTCATTTCTAAATCTTTCGAAATTTTTGTTAAATCATTTAAATTATCTTCACGTTTCATGGCCAGATCAACATTTTCTTGTAAAATTACGACCAATTCCTTAACTTGTTTTTGGGTTTGTTGTATTGCATTCTGTGGGGGTTCTCTGTTGAAGGATAAGTTTTGTGTATTTATTAAATTTATTTATTCGAACTTAACTTACTGCTGGTTGGGTTTTGGTTGTGGATAATTTTGATTTTCATAAACTCCATTTTCATTGGCTGCTCTTACTTCTTGAAAACTTTGATTTTCGTGAATTCCTTTCGGAAAATATTGATTACCATCAGCCATATTTTATTTGTGGAAAATTTTATTTCAATACAATTTTTATTAGTTTTCTTTTAAGAGTGTTGTTTCAGATCGTATTATATTTCTTAAATGTTTCATTGAATTATGCATATTTCAGTTTATAAAGATGTATTTACCTATATCTAAAAGTTGTCGTGATTCATGACATTCACGTAAACCACATAAACTCATTTCACATTTGAGAGAAATTAAAATGACGTTTTAGTATTATTATATTTTATATTTTAGTCCTCAATATATTACATATCCACATACATACGTAAGTATGTATGTGCGTATATCGTAATCATATACCAACTTTGGTGAAGAACTTCAAATCGTGTCAATACTATTTTTAAGTAAAGTCCAACTTTTGAAGCCCACTCAAAACGATCCATTATAAGATGTTATCAGTCCACTAGCTGATAATTTTGTTCTCTTATCACGTTGCAATAGTTAAAGTTCATCAGCAGCATATTTTTATTTACATTAGTGAGAAACAGTTGTCTCCATTTTATATGAATTCGCTCTGGTTCTAAAAAACTATTGTGAGAAATCAACAGCTTTGATTAAATATAATATTACAACGAATTTTATCATCTTATTAAATTCACGCGATAAAATTAGTCAAACCGTGTTACACTATTTCCAATTGAAAGTTAAACCAAGAGTAGGCTATAAACTATAGACTAGACTATAGACAAACTATGGACTTGACTATAGACTAGACTATAGGCTACACTGTAGACTAGACTATAGACTAGACTATAGACTAGACTATAGACTAGACTATAGACTAGACTATAGACTAGACTCTAGACTAGACTATAGACTAGACTATAGACTAGACTATAGACTAGACTATAGACTAGACTATAGACTAGACTATAGACTAGACTATAGACTAGACTATAGACTAGACTATAGACTAGACTATAGACTAGACTATAGACTAGACTATAGACTAGACTATAGGACTAGACTATAGACTAGACTATAGACTAGACCTATAGACTAGACTATAGACTAGACTATAGACTAGACTATAGACTAGACTATAGACTAGACTATAGACTAGACTATAGACTAGACTATAGACTAGACTATAGACTAGACTATAGACAGACTATAGACTAGACTATAGACTAGACTATAGACTAGACTATAGACTAGACTATAGACTAGACTATAGACTAGACTATAGACTAGACTATAGACTAGACTATAGACTAGACTATAGACTAGACTATAGACTAGACTATAGACTAGACTATAGACTAGACTATAGACTAGACTATAGACTAGACTATAGACTAGACTATAGACTAGACTATAGACTAGACTATAGACTAGACTATAGACTAGACTATAGACTAGACTATAGACTAGACTATAGACTAGACTATAGACTAGACTATAGACTAGACTATAGACTAGACTATAGACTAGACTATAGACTAGACTATAGACTAGACTATAGACTAGACTATAGACTAGACTATAGACTAGACTATAGACTAGACTATAGACTAGACTATAGACTAGACTAGACTAGACTATAGACTAGACTATAGACTAGACTATAGACTAGACTATAGACTAGACTATAGACTAGACTATAGACTAGACTATAGACTAGACTATAGACTAGACTATAGACTAGAATAGACTAGACTATAGACTAGACTATAGACTAGACTATAGACTAGACTATAGACTAGAATATAGACTAGACTATAGACTAGACTATAGACTAGACTATAGACTAGACTATAGACTAGACTATAGACTAGACTATAGGCTAGACTATAGACTAGACTATAGGCTAGACTATAGACTAGACTATAGGCTAGACTATAGACTAGACTAGAGACTAGACTATAGACTAGACTATAGACTAGACTATAGACTAGACTATAGACTAGACTATAGACTAGACTATAGACTAGACTATAGACTAGACTATAGACTAGACTATAGACTAGACTATAGACTAGACTATAGACTAGACTATAGACTAGACTATAGACTAGACTATAGACTAGACTATAGACTAGACTATAGACTAGACTATAGACTAGACTATAGACTAGACTATAGACTAGACTATAGACTAGACTATAGACTAGACTATAGACTAGACTATAGACTAGACTATAGACTAGACTATAGAACTAGACTATAGACTAGACTATAGACTAGACTATAGACTAGACTATAGACTAGACTATAGACTAGACTATAGACTAGACTATAGACTAGACTATAGACTAGACTATAGACTAGGACTATAGACTAGACTATAGACTAGACTATAGACTAGACTATAGACTAGATTATAGACTAGACTATAGACTAGACTATAGACTAGACTATAGACTGCCTAAACTAGACTATAGACTAGACTATAGACTAGACTATAGACTAGACTATAGACTAGGCTATAGGCTAGACTATAGGACTAGACTATAGACTTGACTATAGACTTGACTATAGACTAGACTATAGACTTGACTATAGACTGGACTATAGGACTAGACTATAGACTAGTTTAGGCAGATTAGGCAGGATTATTGAAGAGACTTAGTTCAGACTACAGATTCGATAACGTTATACTAAAGCCTTTAGTATTTTAGAATATAGTCGGGACTGTCTACCAGACTAGTCGATATATAGACTAGACTATAGTCGAGAATATAATCCACACTATAGACCCTAGACCAGACTATAGAATAGGCCAGGGTTTTGTATATAGACTAGATTATACTTAGTGGAGTCTATAAACTAAACTACAGTCTAGCCTCGAAACTTTAGACAGCAGTCGCCACTATACACTAGTTCAGACTATGGCACGACAACTATAGACTAGATTTTTGTTGATAATACATAGTCTTTTTTGAGACTATAAACTAGAGTTTAACTCAAGACAAATCAGCAGCAATATAATAAATAAAATTAATTAATTATTAATTTTTTAATTGTTCATTTGACTTAAATTGTTATATAGATAGATTTGCTTTATTTAAAACTAGTGACTAAATGTAACACTTGATTCATGAGGAATAGAGGGTTTATGTTGCTTAACTATATCTAATTCCAATTATAAAACAATTTAATAATTAGGTATGTTTGTATGTTCGAGTTCCACAGTAGGTTTTTAAGTAACCATACTATTTCCCAGTAAATGTTTTGTACTAATAAAACTGTAAGAAAGTTATAAGATTATGATTAAGAATTTTATTTTAATTGCAATTTATATCTGATTTACTCACGTATTATAATTATTAATAAAATCGCCCCCAGGCCGGCAAATACTAATTTTGTTTTCATATGTTTGCGCCATTCTTTACGCTTAACCACAACAGCTGTAGTTTTGAATTCACTTGCTTGCTTTTCCAAATTTTCGGAAATTTCATTTAAATCCGAAAGTTTATTTTCACGTTCCAAAGCTTTGCCAACATTATCGTGTAAGATTTCTACCAATTCATCTACTTGTTCCTGGGTCTGTTGCAGTAGATTCTTGGCAGGTTGCCTTAAGGGAATTATTGTAATTGTAAGTTTTTTTAGATATATTAACCAATTATTTTATTTAAACTTACTGTTGTTGTTCATTTGTTTTAACTTTTTATAAATAACATTTTCATAAATTCCAGTTGTATCACTCATGTTTTATTTTTTTATTTTTTTCAACAATATTTTATTAAAATTTTATATTAAATTTCCTTTAGAATTGTTTATAAAAAGTACTTTGCGTTTCTTATGTGTTGTTTCATTTGTTTAATGTTTCGTTCAACTAAATTCCATTTTATGAATTGTTTATACAAAAAAATATAATTAAAAATATATCTAAAAGCTCTCATGATTCATGAGAATGTGTTCAAACCGCACAAACTCAAATTGAGCGAAATAAATTAGTGATGCTAAGAATTGATGCTAAAATTATAAAAGATCGTCTAGACGATTAATTTAAATTTTATGGTTTTATATAGAAAAACTTAATTTTATTAGTAAATCCGAAAATGTGTGGAGATCGCTTGTTTAAAAAATTACTCTTAATTTTAATACAACTTTTTGGTCTGTTTAGTTAGTTATAAAACTTTATAACAGACCTTAGTCGCCAAAAAAGAAACTAGTTACCTTGTCAGTTCTTTGGTTTCTATAGGTATAGTGCAATCAGTTTTGATTATTCGAATATAACAAATAACCGTTTCAATATTTACACAACACTAATTCTATGTAAAAACCCAAGTTTTCAAATCCACTCAAACTCATAAGTAAACAAAATTGTATTTAATAAAATAGCAACGATTATATACAAACACAATGCACTTGAATTGTATTTATTAAATCCACGCGATAAAACCGGTCAACCTAATTGACACCATTTCCATACGAAATCACATTTTAATAGTTAGATAAAAAAATCTAAGAATTTAGAATTTTAATACAATTTGCAAACAATAAAAAAATTAAAATATAAATTTTCAAATCTTGGAAATATTCTTGTCTTTAGTCTGGGTATTAGATTACTTTATAGTCTAGTTTATAGTCTAGTCTATAGTCTAGTCTATAGTCTAGTCTATAGTCTAAGTCTAGTCTATAGTCTAGTCTATAGTCTAGTCTATAGTCTAGTCTATAGTCTAGTCTATAGTCTAGTCTATAGTCTAGTCAATAGTCTAGTCTATAGTCTAGTTTATAGTCTAGTATAGTCTAGTCTATAGTCTAGTCTATAGTCTAGTCTATAGTCTAGTCTATAGTCTAGTCTATAGTCTAGTCTATAGTCTAGTCTATAGTCTAGTCTATAGTCTAGTCTATAGTCTAGTCTATAGTCTAGTCTATAGTCTAGTCTATAGTCTAGTCTATAGTCTAGTCTATAGTCTAGTCTATAGTCTAGTCTATAGTCTAGTCTATAGTCTAGACCATAGTCTGGTCTATAGTCTAGTCTATAGTCAAGTCTGTAGTCTAGTCTATAGTCTAGTCTATAGTCTAGTCTATAGTCTAGTCTATAGTCTAGTCTATAGTCTAGTCTATAGTCTAGTCTAGTCTATAGTCTAGTCTATAGTCTAGTCTAGTCTATAGTCTAGTCTATAGTCTAGTCTATAGTCTAGTCTATAGTCTAGTCTATAGTCTAGTCTATAGCTAGTCTAGTCTATAGTCTAGTCTATAGTCTAGTCTATAGTCTAGTCTATAGTCTAGTCTATAGTCTAGTCTATAGTCTAGTCTATAGTCTAGTCTATAGTCTAGTCTATAGTCTAGTCTATAGTCTAGTCTATAGTCTAGTCTAGTCTATAGTCTAGTCTAGTCTATAGTCTAGTCTATAGTCTAGTCTAGTCTATAGTCTAGTCTATAGTCTAGTCTATAGTCTAGTCTAGTCTATAGTCTAGTCTATAGTCTAGTCTATAGTCTAGTCTATAGTCTAGTCTATAGTCTAGTCTATAGTCTAGTCTATAGTCTAGTCTATAGTCTAGTCTATAGTCTAGTCTATAGTCTAGTCTATAGTCTAGTCTATAGTCTAGTCTATAGTCTAGTCTATAGTCTAGTCTATAGTCTAGTCTATAGTCTAGTCTATAGTCTAGTCTATAGTCTAGTCTATAGTCTAGTCTATAGTCTAGTCTATAGTCTAGTCTATAGTCTAGTCTATAGTCTAGTCTATAGTCTAGTCTATAGTCTAGTCTATAGTCTAGTCTATAGTCTAGTCTATAGTCTAGTCTATAGTCTAGTCTATAGTCTAGTCTATAGTCTAGTCTATGTCTAGTCTATAGTCTAGTCTATAGTCTAGTCTATAGTCTAGTCTATAGTCTAGTCTATAGTCTAGTCTACTCTATAGTCTAGTCTATAGTCTAGTCTAGTCTATAGTCTAGTCTAGTCTCTAGTCTAGTCTATAGTCTAGTCTAGTCTATAGTCTAGTCTAGTCTATAGTCTAGGCTAGTCTATAGTCTAGTCTATAGTCTAGTCTATAGTCTAGTCTATAGTCTAGTCTATAGTCTAGTCTATAGTCTAGTCTATAGTCTAGTCTATAGTCTAGTCTATAGTCTAGTCTATAGTCTAGTCTATAGTCTAGTCTATAGTCTAGTCTATAGTCTAGTCTATAGTCTAGTCTAGTCTAGTCTATAGTCTAGTCTATAGTCTAGTCTATAGTCTAGTCTATAGTCTAGTCTATAGTCTAGTCTATAGTCTAGTCTATAGTCTAGTCTATAGTCTAGTCTATAGTCTAGTCTATAGTCTAGTCTATAGTCTAGTCTATAGTCTAGTCTATAGTCTAGTCTATAGTCTAGTCTATAGTCTAGTCTATAGTCTAGTCTATAGTCTAGTCTATAGTCTAGTCTATAGTTAGTCTATAGTCTAGTCTATAGTCTAGTCTATAGTCTAGTCTATAGTCTAGTCTATAGTCTAGTCTATAGTCTAGTCTATAGTCTAGTCTATAGTCTAGTCTATAGTCTAGTCTATAGTCTAGTCTATAGTCTAGTCTATAGTCTAGTCTATAGTCTAGTCTATAGTCTAGTCTATAGTCTAGTCTAGTCTAGTCTATAGTCTAGTCTATAGTCTAGTCTATAGTCTAGTCTCTAGTTATAGTCTATAGTCTAGTCTATAGTCTAGTCTATAGTCTAGTCTATAGTCTAGTCTATAGTCTAGTCTATAGTCTAGTCTATAGTCTAGTCTATAGTCTAGTCTATAGTCTAGTCTATAGTCTAGTCTATAGTCTAGTCTATAGTCTAGTCTATAGTCTAGTCTATAGTCTAGTCTATAGTCTAGTCTATAGTCTAGTCTATAGTCTAGTCTATAGTCTAGTCTATAGTCTAGTCTATAGTCTAGTCTATAGTCTAGTCTATAGTTAGTCTATAGTCTAGTCTATAGTCTAGTCTATAGTCTAGTCTATAGTCTAGTCTATAGTCTAGTCTATAGTCTAGTCTATAGTCTAGTCTATAGTCTAGTCTATAGTCTAGTCTATAGTCTAGTCTATAGTCTAGTCTATAGTCTAGTCTATAGTCTAGTCTATAGTCTAGTCTATAGTCTAGTCTATAGTCTAGTCTATAGTCTAGTCTATAGTCTAGTCTATAGTCTAGTCTATAGTCTAGTCTATAGTCTAGTCTATAGTCTAGTCTATAGTCTATAGTCTAGTCTATAGTCTATAGTCTAGTCTATAGTCTAGTCTATAGTCTAGTCTATAGTCTAGTCTATAGTCTAGTCTATAGTCTAGTCTATAGTCTAGTCTATAGTCTAGTCTATAGTCTAGTCTATAGTCTAGTCTATAGTCTAGTCTATAGTCTAGTCTATAGTCTAGTCTATAGTCTAGTCTATAGTCTAGTCTATAGTCTAGTCTATAGTCTAGTCTATAGTTAGTCTATAGTCTAGTCTATAGTCTAGTCTATAGCCTAGTCTATAGTCTAGTCTATAGTCTATCTAGTCTAGTCTAGTCTAGTCTATAGTCTAGTCTATAGTCTAGTCTATAGTCTAGTCTATAGTCTAGTCTATAGTCTAGTCTATAGTCTAGTCTATAGTCTATAGTCTAGTCTATAGTCTAGTCTATAGTCTAGTCTATAGTCTAGTCTATAGTCTAGTCTATAGTCTAGTCTATAGTCTAGTCTATAGTCTAGTCTATAGTCTAGTCTATAGTCTAGTCTATAGTCTAGTCTATAGTCTAGTAGGTCTAGTCTATAGTCTAGTCTATAGTCTAGTCTACAGTCTAGTTAATATTCTAGTCCATAGTCTAGTCTATAGTCTAGTCCATAGTGTAGTCTATAGTCTAGTCTATAGTCGAGTCTGTAGTGTAGTCTGTAGTGTAGTCTATAGTGTAGTCTATAGTGTAGTCTATAGTCTAGTTTATAGTCTAGTCTTTAGTCTAGTCTGTAGTCTAGTCTAGTCTTTAGTCTAGTCTATAGTCTAGTCTATAATCTAGTCTATAATCTGGTCTATAGTCTAGTCTATAGTCTAGTCCATAGTGTAGTCTATAGTCTAGTCTATAGTCGAGTCTGTAGTGTAGTCTGTAGTGTAGTCTATAGTGTAGTCTATAGTGTAGTCTATAGTCTAGTTTATAGTCTAGTCTTTAGTCTAGTCTGTAGTCTAGTCTAGTCTATAGTCTAGTCTATAGTCTAGTCTAGTCTAGTCTATAGTCTAGTCAATAGTCTAGTCCATAGTCTAGTCTATAGTCTAGTCTATAGTCTAGTCTATAGTCTAGTCTATAGTCTAGTCTATAGTCTAGTCTATAGTCTAGTCTATAGTCTAGTCTATAGTCTAGTCTATAGTCTAGTCTATAGTCTAGTCTATAGTCTAGTCTGTAGTGTAGTCTATAGTGTAGTCTATAGTGTAGTCTATAGTCTGTTTATAGTCTAGTCTTTAGTCTAGTCTATAGTCTAGTCTATAGTCTAGTCTATAGTCTAGTCTATAGTCTAGTCTTTAGTCTAGTCTATAGTCTAGTCTATAATCTAGTCTATAATCTGGTCTATAGTCTAGCCTATAGTTAAGTCTATAGGTTATTATATAGTCTAGTTCAATGGCTAGTCTATGGTCTAGGCTATAGTTAAGTCTATAGGTTAGTATATAGTCTGGTTTATAAGCTAGTCTATAGTGTAATATATAGGCTAGTAAATAGTCTAGACTCTGGTCTATTTTATAGTATAGTAAATAATCTATTCTATAGTCTAGTCAAGAGACTAGTCTAATGTTTATAAAAATTCAGAATTTGGAAAATTTTCCATAAAAATAGAGAATTTCGAAAATTTAAAAGAAGGAAAAATTTCAAATATTTTCTATAAAAAATAGAAAAAATTTTTAAAAATGAATCATTAAAAAAATTTTGATAACTTTCTATAAATATTTAAAATTTTAAAAATATAGAATTTTAAGAATAGAGAATTTCGAAAAATTTTTATAAAAATAGAGGGTTTCAAATTTTTTTTTTTTTTTTTGAAAATAGAGTTTCGAAATAAAAAAATTAAATTTTTTTTAAGTTTAATTTTACATTTTGCTTATACATACTCAAAATGCCTTACTTTGGGGACTGGAACTGCAGCCGATGGTCTTATCGTACACTTCTCGAAATAGAACTATATTTTCATTTTGTTCAAAAATGTTGCGATTTACTTAGTGAATCGTCTGAAATAAATGACAGTTAATGGTACATTTGTAGCGATAAAACGTCTTTTGTTTTTGTATGTTAGGGACCTTGAAAATTGGTTTTATTAGTCGCCACAATATCTGATATATCTTCGAAGTATTTATGTATATGAAACAATGATTACTTATATTAAACTTATTAAAAACTCTTTATTTAGTATTTACTTATAAAATTATTACTTTGAGGCATTATCTGTTTATTTTTTGGACCATTAAGTTCAAAAAAGTTAATAGAACTGTCCAATATGAAGCGGTTTGTGTCTAGGATTAACATTTTATATTAGTAAAACTGTAAGAAATGGTAATTAGAAAATTATATATTTATAAAATTCAAAATTACTTACATATTGCAAGAAAAATCGCACCAATACCACCGATTAAAACCAAAACAGTTTTCAAACGCTTCTTCCACATATTACGTTTAAGCGTCGCCGCCATATCAAGAAAATCACATGCTCCCCTTTCTAAATTTTCACCGATTTCATTTAAGACCAATAGATTATGTTCACGTTCCAAAGCCCGGTGTACATTAACGAATAAGATATCAACCAATTCATCAACTTGCTGTTGGGTCTCTTGTAATACGTTTTCTCGTGGTGGCGATTTTGAAGGCTTATCGATGTTTTGAGGTTTAAGCGCCGATGTCATAGTACGGAAATCTCTTGCGTGTCTTTGTAAATTTTCACCAATTTCATTTAACTCCGTTAGATTGTGTTCACGTTCTAAAGCACGATCAACATTATCGGATAAGATTTCAATTAATTCATTAACTTGCTGTTGTGTCTCTTGCAGTAAACCCTCTCGTGATGTTGTTGCTCTATTCGGGGAATTACACTGTATTTTATAACTGAAATTTTTTTAAATTGTTGTACTTTTTTTTTTTTAACTTACTGTACATTTTTGTTAGGGTCCATGTTTTAGTTTAGTTATTTCTTTTTTTTTTTAAAAAAAAGGTGAGTATTTTTGTAAATTTTGATTTTAATCTCTCGTTGCAAGTATTTACTGGAAAAGTAAATGAACAGACCTAATATTTTTGTATTTTACATATCTTTCTTTATACTAACTGTTTGTTTTATTAATAATATTGTAATTTCCATTTGTATTGATATTGTTTGCCGGTATTCTACTTTTTGTTGATGCTTTGACTCATTAATGTTTTGTTCAACAAAATTTCATTAATTTCAAATAGATTTTTTCAAAAATTTTACAAAAAATATCGAAAATCTCTCATTACTCAGAGTAAATACAATTTGAAAGGTTTTTCTCTTATTAAAAACTAATAATATCCAATTTTTAGTTCTAAAAATCAAACTTTGTTTATATCAAAAGAAATCAGTTCCGTAATTGGTTCTTTTGGGGTTGTGCAGTGCATTGTCTGTCAACTTTTGACATTTGCCACAAATTCGCCGAACGATTTACTTAGAAAATTTAAACTAGACATTATTTAAGTTGTTTTTTAATCCGACCAATAAAAACAAACAACTTCCATTAGTTAATATTTTGTTAACACTAAACTGATTATGACAAATTATATTTAACAAAAAAAAATCACTCAACTCTTTATGTAAATTGTTTGTACTGAGTTGAGTGTCTGAATAAAAAAAATCCCCATACTTTGTGTATATTTTCATAGCCAATATCAGAAGAGAAGAATGATATATTGATTTTGTCTTTCTGTTTGTAACACATCGAAATATTGTACACATTGTGGGTCAGATCTTAATTGTTATACCCTACACCACTTTAGTGGGGAGGGTATATTGGATTTGTGTTGAAGTTTGTAACATACAAAAATATTCGTCCTAGACCCACCTTAAAGTATACCAATCGGCTTAGAATCGTTTTCGGAGTCGATTAAGCTATGTCCGTCCGTCCGTCCGTCTGGCTGGCTGTCCATGTAAACCTTGTGCGCAAGGTACAGGTCGCAATTTTCAAGATAATTGTATGAAATTTGGCACGCACGTTTTATTTGACCTAAGGACAAAGCCTATTGAAAATGGTTAAAATCGGTCCATTATTTCACCTAGCCCCCATAGAACAGAACCCCCCGAAAAGGGCTTCTGAGCTCATAATTATGTTAAATATACAGATATATCGATAAAATACGGCACAACTAAGTTTTATAGAAGTCTTGATGACCCTGCCAAATTTCATAAAGATCGGGCCACATACAAAGTCCCCTTCAGAAAATTACTTGAATGTCCCAAATCAGCTTATAAACACAAATATCGCGATGAAATTCAGCACAATAAAATATTATGTCAATATAAATATATTCACAAAATTTTATCGGGCTTGGTCCATATTTGCCCCTAGCCCCCATATAAAGCCTCTTTCAGAAAATTAGTTTTTCATCCATAAATTGCTTAAATGTATCGGAACAAGGGAATATTGAAGATAAATAATGCTTTATTATGAAAAATAAATCACATTTAATATTCATAACTGGTGTAGGGTATCATATGGTCGGCCACGCCCGACTATAATTTCTTACTTGTTTTTTTTTTTTGTAGAATAGAAAACAATGCAGATATTTTTATACCCTTCAACTTCGTGAGAAGGGTATATATCTATAATATAATTTTCCGACCCTATAAAGTATATATATATTCTGGATCCTTATAGATAGCGGAGTAATCTTAGCCATGTCCGTCTGTCTGTCTGTTGTGACGAACCACCACTAAGAACCTTGCTATTCTGGAGACATCGCTACCTAGGAGTCCGGCCGTGCTCTGGTTCTTGTCTTCAGAATGCAAAGTTCTGGTTCGCTACATAAGATTTTCAAAAATATTAGTTAGCTAATAATTGTCGACAAACATTAACATGAAAAAAATATAAATTTTTAAAAATGTTAGATAGGGCCGTTTGCGTTTTAGGTGACGATATCATTATCTATATGTATTTTCCCAATATTTTTATTATCATTTTCTTTTAAATGTACACATGAACATATAACAAAAATTTTAGACATTAACTCACCAAATTTTCGATCCTTCGATGACAGCAGGCCTGTAGTCCGAGGAAAAGGTTTCTTTGCATACGGTTATATAAAAGTTACTAATACAAATTGTTTATATACACATGTCAAAATTAATTGTTTATAAATATAAATTCTAGCATATAAATACTTATCAAAATGTTCCTTATGGAGTTTTCATGTTACTTTTGAAATTGCTAACATGTAAAAATTGACTTTTTTAAATGAAATTAAATGATTCAAGAAATTAAAAAAAAAAAAAAATTAGATAAAAATAAACAAATTATGACAAAACAATTAATTAAGTTAAATGAAATAATTGAAAAGCAAAAAGCAAATAAGTTTTTGAATTTTCTATAATATTGAACTTATAAACATGAAATTAAGTTTCTATAGCCCCGATTAAGTGAGAACTGAAAAATAGGCGGAATTTTTTGGTAATTTTTCGTTCTACAAAAGGTACTTTTTGAATTTTCTATAATATTGAACCTAGAAACATGTAGAGCCCGGATTAGGTGAGAACCTATAAAAAATGCAGACACTTTTCTATAGAAAAATGTTCAATGCGAACACTTTTTTACGGAAAACTGTCTAATGAAGACACATTTTAATAGAAAACTGTCCAATGCAGTACCCTATCCATTGAAAACTGTTCAATGCAGACACTTTTCCACAGTAAACAGTTTAATGCAGACACTTTTCTACAGAAAAATTTTCAATGCTAACACTTTTTTACGGAAAACTGTCCAATGAAGACACACTTTAATAGAAAACTGCCCAATGCAGAACCCTATCCATTGAAAACTGTTCAATGCAGACACTTTTCTATAGAAAAATGTTCAATGCGAACACTTTTTTACGGAAAACTGTCTAATGAAGACACATTTTAATAGAAACCTGTCCAATGCAGAACCCTATCCATTGAAAACTGTTCAATGCAGACACTTTTCCATAGTAAACAGTTTAATGCAGACACTTTTCTATAGACAAATGTTCAATGCGAACACTTTTTTACGGAAAACTGTCTAATGAAGACACATTTTAATAGAAAACTGCCCAATGCAGACACTTTTCTATAGTAAACTGTTCAATGCAGACACTTTTCCATAGAAAACTGTCTAATGTAGACACTTTTCCATAGTAAACAGTTTAATGCAGACACTTTTCTATAGAAAAATGTTCAATGCGAACACTTTTTTACGGAAAACTGTCTAATGAAGACACGTTTTAATAGAAAACTGTCCAATGCAGAACCCTATCCATTGAAAACTGTTCAATGCAGACACTTTTCCATAGTAAACAGTTTAATGCAGACACTTTTCTATAGAAAAATGTTCAATGCGAACACTTTACGGAAAACTGTCTAATGAATACACATTTTAATAGAAAAGTGCCCAATGCAGACACTTATCCATAGAAAACTGTCCAATGCAGACACTTTTCTATAGTAAACTGTTCAATGCAGACACTTTTCTATACAAAACTGTCCAATGCAGACACTTTTCCATAGTAAACAGTTTAATGCAGACACTTTTCTATAGAAAAATGTTCAATGCAGACACTTTCCTATAGAAAAATTTTCAATGCAGACACTTTTCTATATAAAAATGTTCAATGCGAACACTTTTTACGGAAAACTGTCTAATGAAGACACATTTTAATAGAAAACTGCCCAGTGCAGACACCTATCCATAGAAAACTGTTCAATGCAGACACTTTTCTATAGTAAACTGTTCAATGCAGACACTTTTTCATAGAAAAGTATCTAATGCAGACACTTTTCCATAGTAAACAGTTTAATGCAGACACTTTTCTATAGAAAAATGTTCAATGCGAACACTTTTTTACGGAAAACTGTCTAATGAAGACACATTTTAATAGAAACCTGTCCAATGCAGAACCCTATCCATTGAAAACTGTTCAATGCAGACACTTTTCCATAGTAAACAGTTTAATGCAGACACTTTTCTATAGACAAATGTTCAATGCGAACACTTTTTTAGGGAGAACTGTCTAATGAAGACACATTTTAATAGAAAACTGCCCAATGCAGACACTTTTCTATAGTAAACTGTTCAATGCAGACACTTTTCCATAGAAAACTGTCTAATGTAGACAATTTTCCATAGTAAACAGTTTAATACAGACACTTTTCTATAGAAAAATGTTCAATGCGAACACTTTACGGAAAACTGTCTAATGAAGACACGTTTTAATAGAAAACTGTCCAATGCAGAACCCTATCCATTGAAAACTGTTCAAGGCAGACACTTTTCCATAGTAAACAGTTTAATGCAGACACTTTTCTATAGAAAAATGTTCAATGGCAACACTTTTTTACGGAAAACTGTCTAATGAAGACACATTTTAATAGAAAACTGCCCAATGCAGACACCTATCCATAGAAAACTGTCCAATGCAGACACTTCTAAAGTAAACTGTTCAATGCAGACACTTTTCTATACAAAACTGTCCAATGCAGACACATTTCCATAGTAAACAGTTTAATGCAGACACTTTTCTATAGAAAAATGTTCAATGCAGACACTTTTCTATAGAAAAATGTTTAATGCAGACACTTTTCTATACAAAAATTTTCAATGCAGACACTTTTCTATAGAAAAATGTTCAATGCGAACATTTTATTACGGAAAACTGTCTAATGAAGACAGATTTTAATAGAAAACTTCCAATACAGACACTTTTCTATAGTAAACTGTCTAATGTAGATACTTTGCTATAGAAAAATGTCCAATGTTGACACTTTTCTATAGAAAAATGTCCAATGCAGACACTTTTTTATAGAAAACTGTCCAATGAGAACACTTTTTTTACGGAAAACTGTCTAATGAAAACATATTTTAATAGAAAACTAACCAATGCAGACACTTTTCTATAAGAAATTAAGTTTTAATTTGTTTACCTTTTTGTAAGTTCTCTTTATCTGTCATAAAAATAAAAACTTTTTGTTTTATTTTTTCAAACATTTTATTATTTTTTTTTTAAGATTTTTTTTACAATTTTTTATTTTTTTCTTTTTTATAATATTTTCTTCTTTTTTTAATTTTCGCTTTTTTGTTGTTGTTGTTTTTATAATTAAATATAAGTCTTACTTTCAAGTACAATAATTATAATTAATTAATAATAATTTAAAATTTCTAAAGAAAAAGAAAAGAAAAAAAAAAAAAATAAAAGAGGAGACAAAAAGAAAACTACAAGGATAAAGGGGGGGGGGGGTGGATGTAGACAAAATCAAGAGGGAGGGGGAAAAGACATACAATTTTAATAATAGATAATAAGCAAGAACAATTACAAACCAATCAAAGAAGGGAAAGGGAGAGAAAATAAAAATACAAGAACTTTTAAACAGATAATTTTTAAATTTTAATCCTTAAAAGCAACAGTAGCACAACTGATTTTTTTTTTGCTTGTTGTTTTATATTTTATTTATTACACAATTTTGATTTTCCAAAAAAAACAATAATGACAAATGTACAATTTTTTGTTGTTGTTGGTTTAC